CTGTTCACAGCACACACACAGCACTGTTCAAACAGGCCTCGCTGGGAACGGAAACATATGGGGTGTTACTTTCTGTGGTCATAGGAAATCTGTCTTAAAGGTCTATTTTTCGCGCTGGAGGCCAGGCAGCTCCTTGCCCTGGTCACAAGGAGGCTTGGATGGAAGACACTGGTCAGAGAACACTGGAATCCACCCCCCTGACAGGTGTGATTCACTGAATGGGACTCATTAGCTGAGATGCCAGAGGTGAAAGACTGCACTTTTTTTCTTTAAAAATGTTATTCTGTAATCCTCACAATACATCAGAGGAGGTAGGTTAGTATGACTAGTCCCATTTCAGGCGGGGATACTGAGGCACAGAAAGGATAAGAGACTGGCCCCCACCCATACCATGAATCACTATTCACACCAGGTTAAGAGAGGGAAGTAACTGAGGGCTGAACTTGGTGTCTGATCAGTACATCCTACCCGAAACCTGCCCTCATATTTTTACAGCCCAGATACAGTTAAAGCTGCAGGATCCTTTGATCTTCCGGGAGGAACTGCCAAGAATGCGATCAACAAACACAGCTACCGGCTCACTTGCAAAAGAAAAGTCCTGAAATTTTCCAGCATCACCATCTTGAATATTTGCCAATAACATCTGTTAGATTTTTTAAAAAACCAATTGAGGGCCACAAACCCATTAAGAAGTTCCTGTTGCTTCCAGTAAAACGTGGCCAAGGAAAACAAAGGTAACAAGTTTTGCTTTCTAGGAAAGGGGGAGCGGGCTGGGGGCATCTTCAGTGAGTAAAAATTCAAGACCCAACAGGTTGGCATCTGTTGGGGGTGGCTCACCCCATTTCCCCCTACCTGCCCCCTGAAGACCCATGGAAAATCCTGGGCTTGGGTATCAAGATAAAGGCTGGAAGCTTTGTCACATACAGGCTTTCTCTGGAACAATGCAGCCGGAAAGCCACAGTCCCTCTGCAGATCCACGCATGACAAACCACTAGCATAACCTGGTGGTTCTCAACTTGTGGAGGCCCCCAGGAGATATCTAGCAATGTCTACAGATACTTTTGGTTGTCACACCTAACTTGGGAGTTGCTACTGGCAGATGATGGGTACAGACCAGGGATGTTGCTAAACATCCTACAGTGTACAGAACTGACCGCAAAATGTCAGTAGAGGTTGAGAAACCCTGGCACCACCCCACAGGCTGTGCAACAGTGTTCTTCAGCATTCACATGCTGAGTCCCCCTAAGGACTGACCCTCCCTCACTACCGCACAGCCAGCAGGTGGCCATGGGACCAGTAACAGCCTCCTTGACACTGAACCACCTGCCCACTGGTGCTGAAATGTGCCTTCCCAGGGGGACCAAGCCTTTCGCTTGCAGTGAGAATTAAGGCTTAAATGCAAATATCCCTGGAAGAAATACACAAAGATCCTGCATTCTGATCCTTTCCTGAGAGTGCTGTGGTGGGGCGGAGGCAGGGGCACCAAGAGGGAGAGAAAGGGCACAAAGAGGAGGGTGGGCCTGCCCCCAGCTCTCTTGGTGAGCTCCACAGTGCCTGCCCAGGCTCAATCCGGAAAGCACCACCCTCCTCAAACTTGGTGGGCCATAGGGCACCTAGGGCACTGTTGCAACTACAAAGTACATATCAGGCTGAAGATGCAGCCTGGAACTATATACAGTTTTATAGTGCTTAGGTCAGTTACCTTGTGGGTCAGTATTACTGGTGTCCTCTTTAATTGGAATCATTGTTTTCCCAAGGAGAACAGAGAGGGGAAAAGCAGGCTTTGGGGAAATGCCTTCCCCTGCTTGGAATTAGGAGCTGGGATGCTATGTATGCAGTGAGGTGCTAGTGGATATTTTCGGAAGAGATTAATTTTAAAAGGAAAAGGCATACACTTTGACCACACTTGCTCACTAGCAAAGAACAACTGCAGAACACATTACAGAGGCACTATTTACAATGCAATGGAACTCGACATTTTAAAACTACTTTGAATTCCTTTTTCACTGAAACTGCTTGATAGATTTACACCAAGTTACTCCCCAGCCAGCCCAACTAAAGCCTCATCTTGATATCATTTCTATGTACAAATATGCCACCATGATGTAACGTGTTATGGAATTCGATGGTGGATGAGAATTCCATGACCTGTCATTTCTACTCCAAAACCCGGGACCTTCCCGGCCATGAGGAGTTGATAAGTTCCTTCTTCACTTTTCTGATCCCTCAAAAACACAAGTGTGTGGCACGGACCTGCCCTTCTCTTTGAAGTCAGAACATTGAAGGTGTTTTGTGCTGAAGACGGGAGAGGCGTCTGTGAAGGAGAGCTGGATGCCGTCCCTGGCATCGGCCGTATTGCTTCTGGGCTCCTGGAGGAGTCAGAAAAGGGAGGTTCTCAGCCCCCAAGCTCAGGGCAGCAGTCGGGAGGAGGGAGTCCTTGCTGCACCTCTCTGGACTTCAGGGAATTTTTTTCTGAAAGAGGCCACCAGATTTGTGGGCATTTCCCTCCTGCACTTTCCACTTCTCTCCTGACCTGGATGCTGCTCCTTCAAAGGAGTTAGGTTCAGGGTAGCTCCAGGCAGCTTGTGCTCCAGTGATGGGCGATTCCTCTGCAGAGCTGGTGTCCCCTGGTGACCCGGGCTGTGGTGACGGTGGAGGCTCCACAGCCTTCCCCGGGACTCCCCTGTGAGAAGCCGCTGTCACCAGGCAGCCCTGCGTAGCCCACTCTCATTCTGGGGGCAGGGTGTAGGTCTGTTTTTTTCAGAAGGCAGCTAGACACTTCCCAAAGCTGATAGCTTCCTCAGCCCTAGGAAAGTGGTGACTGCTCTTCATCCTCAATCTTTAGGGATCTTCTCCATGCTCCAAGCCATGGCCACCCAGAGCTATGGCTAAGGATGAAGCTGCAGGGATATGGGAGACAGAGGCAGCGGTGTGGGCAAGCACACAGGGTCCTAGGTCTTGTATGTTACCTCCAAGGGCTCTGGATGGGGCTCTGGGATGGGAGGAGGAGATCCAGAAACTGCTTGGTGAGATGACAAGGAAGAGGCAAGACCTAGACTTCCACGAAGCAGATGGCTCCCAGGCTCTGCAGCAGAGGCTGCAACACAGCACCAAGCAGCTCCTGCAGACGGGGCAGCTGGCCTTGCTGGCCACATCGCAGAGACAGCGGACCAGGCGGCCTTGCAGACCAAGAGCGTGAGCTTTGAGGTAGGATTGTCGGGCCTGCTGAGTGGAGGCAGGGGAACTGCATGGCTCTGGCAGGCGGTTACTCAGAAAGCAGGCGTGGTATCTGAACAGGAAGGCAGAACCAAGGACGCACAGTCGGTGCCGGTGTACGGGGCGAGTTTTTATAAAAATCCAGTCCAGCAAATTGACAAGTCACTTCTCAGCCTCAGAAATAAAATGCTTGACAAAATATATTCTTTTTAAAAGGAGAGAGAAATATTACTACCAGGTAGAGCTGGAGGTGGCAGGTGACTGGGAAGATGAGAGGAGGGAGGAGAGGAAGGGTTCCCTGGGAACAAGAGCCCGGCAGGCTCAGAACCCCTGTCGTGAGCTGTCTCTGAGAGGTGTGGATGACTCAATGTGGATCTCAAGGGAGAAGCCTGGTGTTTCCAGAGTCCCGCCCTGGCAGGTCAGACTCGGCACACCCAGTCTCACAGTGGGAAGCTGGGAGACAAGGTACCTGATATTGCTCTTCTATTTTCTGCCTTCCCCAGAGATCCCGCCCACCGCATCAGGGCAGAGCCGTCCCTGCCTGCCACAGGGGCCACTTGTGTCATGATGCTTTCATAACGACAATAGGGTGGACTGACTAGAAGAGGCTTTCCCAGGGTCGGCCATCTTAAATGCTTATGAGTCTGAGAGTGGTTCTGCTCAGAAGAGCAATCTGGATGTGTTTTCAGTTAACTTCTTGGGTTGCCAGTTTCAGAAAGGAGCCACCACCAGGTGAAGACGTCTGACATAGTTGTTAAAATTCTTGTGTTTTCACGTGGATTTAAGAACTAAGAACTGAGTGAATTAATTTTAGGAGACTGTTGTATGTGTGTGTGCGGGGGGGGATGTGTGTGTGTATGTGGGAGACAGAAAGAGAGAAGGAGGGAGGGAAAGAGAGGGAAAGATGGAAGAAAGAGAGGCAGGGATGGAGGAAAATAAGAGAGAGAAGGAGGAAAGGAAGAAAGAGAGAGAAGGAGGAAAGGAAGAAAGAGATTGAAGGAGGGAGGGAAGGAGAGCAAGAAGAAAAGAGAGAGAAGGAGGGAGGGAAGGAGAGAAGAAAAGAGAGAGAGAGAAGGAGGGAGGGAGAAGAAATGAAGGAGGGAGGAAAAGAGAGAGAGAGAACACAATTGGCTGACTAATAAAGGAAGCCATTTTAAAAGGTTCTCAACACTTCAGTTAGAGAGGCAAAAGTCTAGCAAGAATGATTAATATCCCTTTCTATCAATCCTGCATTGGGTCTGCAAGTGGCAGGCACTACTAAAGACTCTAGGACCAAGAAGCTAGAAGATAACTTTCTCAGCATGATGAGAATCTGCAGTCTTGGGACTCTGAGGAGGCAGGGTCCCCACGGAGGGCCAACACCCGGGGTGTGGGATTACAGCACAGCTCCTGACTGCCACTCTCAGGAGGCCAGTCTCAAAGTCTATCTTCCTCTCCCTCCAAAAAAAGACAAGCTTTGAAAACAGCTGGCAGGAAACACAGACATGAAGCCCGAATGCTGACTCCCTTGAGAAAGGTCCTTCTTGGGGAGCGTTCGTAACGTCTGGGTGGAATAAGGGTGACACACGTACCCGCCTTTGCCACTGACAGTGGCAGCTGTGAGCATGGCCCGTGGACCCATTCCCCGTGCCCCCAAGAAAATGTTTCTATGACATTCCACGCTGCCAGGTTGTACCCATGACTTGCATATCCTGCTTTTGTGGGTTATTTGAGCTTAGTGAGAATGGTGGGCATTTTGCCTGTGAATGTCAGTGTCACAGGCGCAGTGCCAAGCTGGAGCGGAGCTAATTGCCTGACAGCTTTGGCCGCCCCAGGTTAGTCGGCACTTCCAATCCTGTGTGCAGGGTGACCTGGAAAAGAAGACAGGGGAAGTGAGGGTGGGAGAGGCTGCTGCAGGGGCCCTGAGTGCTCCAAAGGCACCGCAGACACCGGCAGGATCCCCTGCTGGCTCCAGGGCCATCCATGCAACAGCTTAGGGCTGCTGTAGACTGGTGAATATTATGTCACTCAATATCCCTAATCAAAGGCTATGTTGGTTTGCACCTCTTTCCTCATAATAAGAATCACCCAGCTGACTGGTTCCTCATTTTGCCAGAGCTGCCAGAGCCAGGCAAAGTAGATGCTGTCCCAGGAGCACGGCTCTCATGCACTGGCTCCTGTGGTTACATATTTGTGTCTACTTTCTAGCCACGACCTTCTTTCCTTTCCTACTAATCCCATTCTATTAACTGTGAGGAATAATAGCCAACCTTTTATTTTTTTGATTAAAAAAAGCTTATTTGTTCATTGGTAGAGATGGAGTCTTGCTAGTTCCCCAGGCTAGTGTCAAACTTCTGGGCTCAAGCGATTCTCCTGCCATGGCCTCCCAAAGTACTGGGGTTACAGGCGTGAACCACCATGCCTGGCCAAGGCTATCTTTTATTTTATTTTATTTTTTTTGAGACAGAGTCTTGCTCTGTCACCCAGGCTAGAGTGCAGTGGCACGATCTCGGCTCACTGCAAGCTTCACCTCCCAGGTCACGCCATTCTCCTGCCTCAGCCTCCTGAGTAGCTGGGACTACAGGCACCTGCCACCACACCCGGCTATTTTTTTTTTTTTTGGTAGAGACAGGGTTTCACCATATTAGCCAGGATGGTCTCGATCTCCTGACCTCATAATCTGCCTGCCTCGGCCTCCCAAAGTACTGGGGTTACAGGCGTGAGCCACCATGCCCAGCCAAGCCTATCTTTTAGGTTGCCACAAATCCCTTTTGCAAATGAGTAGAAGATCAAATCGATCAATCAGTGATTGGTGTAGACTCCTCAATATTCAGGGCCACAGAACAGGACCCTGCCTCCCCACACTCCAACTCTCCATTCCAAGTGGAGGAGGACTCTACTAAGACGATGGATGGCACCTTTGTGTTTCTCCCTTCCTCACACCCTCCTGGGTTCTCATTCTTGTCTCTCTGTTTCAGGCCTCCTGAGCTACCAGCACTCCCCAGGGACTGGGCTCAGCCATGAGGTCTGCGTCTCCAGAAGCTGCCACCTTAGGGCCCCTGGGTGTCCCAAGTGAACAAGTTAGAACGGAACGCCTCTAGGAAATGTCCAAGGCAGTCCACTCAATAAGCTCTGTCTGGGAAGGCTCTGTGGTCAGTTTCTTTATGGCCCACTCTGCCCATGGGCACTGCAGAGACTTGTGGACAAACAGTGGGGAGCAGCCAGACCAGGTCCGGCCTGGGGGAGGCGTGTACCTGCACATTGCGGTTGAGGCTGAGGGCTGGCATGAAGACCCCGTCCACGTGGCTGAAGGCTGTGGGGCCCTGCTGCTGCCCGTTGATGAAGAAAGTGAGGGTGTGCTTATTCAGGTCCAGCAGCACGCCCACGGTGGCCCCCTTGCACACGCCGCCTTCCGTCCTGGGAAGAGAGTCCCCAGGAAGACCATCACCACACCCAGCCTGGGATGTAGGAGATTAACTCAGGAGAATTATTTATTTATTTGGAGACACGGTCTCACTCTGTCACCCAGGCTGGAGTGCAGTGACGCCATCTCGGCGCACAACAGCCTCACCCTCCCAGGCTCAAGAGATCCTCCCACCTCAGCCTCCCGAGTAGCTCAGACTACAGGTGCATGACATGAGACCCAGCTAATTTTGTTTGTGTTTTTTGTAGAGATAGGGGTCTCACTATGTTACCCAGGCTGGTCTTGAACTCCTAGGCTCAAGTGATCTTCCCACTTTGGGCTCCCAAAGTGCTGGGATTATAGGCATGAGCCACCATACCTGGGCAGGAAAATTATTTATAGGATGCTGGGAACACCCTCACTTAAACATGGCCCCCAAGGTGGTAGTGGGGTGCTCTCCTGGCATATGAGCCTTCTCTCACAGTGGACACACCTTGTTAACAGGCCATGATGAAGACTCCCCTATAGGAACCAGGCTGTTCAGCCCCCTCTTCCTGAGAGCATCTGGGATCTGCATACTAGAAAAATCGGGTTCTGATGAGTAGGTCCCATTTGAAACTGTGGAGCATGCAGAGTGGGTAAGAAAGGCACCTTTTCCTGCCAAAGAAAGTAACTGACTTGGTGCCCTTTTCTGTTTTAGGCAAGTGAGGATGCTGAGGTCGATGAAGATGTGGACATCCAGGCCTTCAGGAAATTTTGCAAGGCCCCTACCCTACATTGGCTTATCTTCCCAGAAACATCCTAGGGTCCCTCGAAAAGCAGTGTATGGCAGGGAGAAGGGTGCTGAAGTTGAAATCAAGTCCTCTGTTGAAGTCACCATCCCACAGGTGACCAATAGCGGAACCTTGAGAACGTCCATTCTGCTCTTGATCAGTGTTGGCAATGTCGTACTTCGTAGGTGGTAAGAATTCACATCCACCTGGTGGAAGCGAATCTATTAATAAAAGTAAGGAACATGCTCCCAAGAGGGGCTTGGCTGACCACGTCTTCTCCCATGGGCCGAATCCTGCAGACTCTCCTTCCCTTCCCTGAGGTGGTTTTTCGTTTTTGAGTGGATGTCTCTCCCTGTGGCCCAGGCTGAAGTGCAGTGGTGCAATCATGGCTCACTGTTGCCTGAAACTCCTGGGCTCAACGGATCTTCCCACAAGCCTCCCGAATAGCTGGGACTACAGGCACACACCATGCCCAGCTAATTTTAAAAATATTTTATAGAGACGAGGGCCTCACTATGTTGCCCAGGCTGGTCTTGGACTCCTGGGCTCAAGGGATCCTCCTGCCTCAGCCTCCTGAGTAGCTGAGACTACAGGCTTGAGCCACCGCGCCCGCTCAGGGCTGAGGTTTTAGCCTTAATCTTAGCAACGCCACTCTGCTAAGAAAACCTTGTCTGTCCTTCCAGATTGAGAATGAGTTGATCTACTGGACGCTGCTGGTTGGGCAGAGGGAAGGTGAGCAGCGAGAAGGATTCACGACAGGAAGTCCCAAGGAGGACTTGGTGGGCGGCCCGGCCCAGACAAGTGTTTCCGGAGAGGGCAGGGCTTCCCCGAGGGTGCCCCGGCAGGTGGGAGAAGGGAACTAAAACCGCACTGTTGGTGCTATTTGGATTCTGACCACCGGGTGGCGGTAGTGACCCATGGGAGGTGCAGAAATGAGTCCGACCTAAGCAAAGCCTCAGGCCCAGTTAGCTCTGGGGTCCAACTTCCCGGCTGCCTCGACTTCCTCCCAGAGAGCGCTTACCCTACCCGATCCACATCCCAGGGTGGGAGGACATGCAGAAAGGGGCAGATTCTCTCTACCTTCTCATGGCCCCACTTCCCTTCTGTTTTTCTTACTGAGGTGGCACCAAGGGGCCGTCAAGGACAGCAAAGGCCCAAGAAGTGCTCGGCAGCCCTTGGGAGGAGTGTGGTGGCCAATGGCAGGGAGGGCTGGGGAGTCCGCACCACACAAACCGAGGCTGGGGTCCTGGGCTCAACCCTGTGTGTGTCAGCTGGCCGCATGGCCTGAGCCTTGTCCGACCTTCCTAAGCCCAGGCTTTTTATTTATTTATTTTTTTTGTAGAGAGGAGGGTCTCACTATGTTGCCCAGGCTAGTCTTGACCTCCAGGACTCAAGTGATCCTGCTGCCTCGGCCTCCCAAGTAGCTGGGACTACAGGTACACAGCACCATGCCTGGCTAATTTTTAAAATTACTATTATTTATAGAGACAGGGTCTCACTAAGTTGCCCAGGCTGGTCTCAAACTCCTGGGCTCAAGCAATCCTTCTGCCTCGGCCTCCTTAAGTGCTGGGATTACAGGTGTGAGCCACCATTCCAGTCTAAGCCCCACTTTTATAATATGTAAAATGGCAACAATAATAGCACTTTTGCAGGGATTAAATGAGCTCAAGATACATTGAGTGCTTCCTACAGCACTGAGCACAAGTAAGGGCTTGACAAATGCTTCTTGTTACTACTCCTGCCAGCAAACAGGGTATCTGGGTGCCAGTTTGGCTTAAGCAAGCAGAGCCGGAGCTGATGGGCCTGGACCTGGCCCCTCTGTGGGTAGGAGGGAGAATGGCCAGCTTGCAGGGTCTGGGCAGAGGCGCAGAGCTGTTCGCCTCTTCCCCAGGACTCAGGAGAGAAGGGGCCCTGCCTACCAGCAAAGAGGCAGGCAGACAGGGTCCTGAGGGCCCTCGGCCAAGTCCTTGGCCCAGATTAGACCTGGCTTCCCTGAGAAAGAAGAAGCTGGTCCTTCCTCTGCGGGAAGATGCCCTAGGGGCTGTTATAGGAGCTGCAGGTGGGCCCAGAGCACTGAGAGCCTCCGGGTCAATTTTGCCTGGGACTGGGGCCAGTGAAGTCAAGGTCAGCTCCTTGAAGTTCCTCACCCCTTCCTGCTGGGGAGATGGCCCTTAGCAGACCAGGAGCAAGGCTCCATAGCAAGGAGGTGGCGCCAGGTGTCCGCAACTTGCAATTCTCCATTTCTGGCCTTGGGGATTCTTCACCCCCATATCCATCCCCGCATGCCAGCCAGTTGTGAGCACAAAATCCCTGGGAGAGGAGAAAGAGTACGGGGCTATGGTGCAGGTGTGTCAGGGGGGTGGGGGCACTGCCTTCTCTGTGAGTAGAGAGACCAAGGCACCCTGGAGAAGCCCAGGCCTCGGGGGCAGTCCCGGAGGACCCATCCCCTTCTGCCCTCCTAACAGAGGCCCCAGTAGTGACACAGGCCAGGACCTGAGTCTCCTGTGTCCACACTGATGACCCTACTCCCAGGGCCAGTCTCAGGGCAAAGCCACAGCTGTAGGCACCCTTGGCAGACTCGTTTTAGTAGTGAGCACCCCAGCCATGCCCTCTGCTACTGCCCTGTCGAGGGCCTGGCCCTGCTGAGGCTCAAGCCCACATGAGACCAGGGCAGTGGCCAGGATCACTGCAGGCAAGTTAGTGGCAATGACCTGGTCACAGCTGTGAGGACATCAACCCCAGTGGTGCCCATTAACGCCTTGCAGTGACTCAAGCTTGGGTTGACAGTTGCAAAGGAAAGTGAAGCTGGACCAGAAAGAAAACTACGAGCTCCATATCCCAGCAGAGGACCACCGTGTGGCCTGCTGGGTAACTTTGGAGACCCATCTGTGCGGGTGCTGTGCAAATCACCATAACATACCCTCATCTGGGCTGCAGGCTAGTTCTATGTGGGCAGAGTCAAAGCTTCCTAGAAAATGGAGATCAAAGTGGCTGAAAATACCTCCTCCCAATTCCTGCTGGCTTTGGGAACAGCAGAAGGGACACTGGTCTTCAGGACCCTCATTCCCAAACAACCTGTGTCCACGGGAGGCAGGATGGGGCCCAATCGCACCTGTTGGTGTGGGAGTTGCAGTGCATGAACCAGCTGCGGTTGTTGTCCACATACATGGCCCAGGCCTTGTCATCCTTGCCCAGCATCATGTCCTTGACCACGCTGGCCCTGGCCACCCCGAAGGCGGGGTCTGGGTGGTTGTCGTACCGGTCCACGTGCAGCTCCCAGTAGTGCACACCCTTGGAGAACGCAGCTGTGCCCAGCACCACCCGGTCATCATAGCTGCTGCAGGTGGCTGTCTGGTTGTCGTTGGATAAAATGATGTCCCGATGCCCAGAGTTGGGGTCAAATGTGAACCAGGCCACTAAAAAGGAAGGAGGCGAGAGGAGCAGGGTCAGGGGATGGAATTTGCCAGTAGTTTCTAACTGGCTCAGAGACACAAACACACTCGCTTCTGTTAGAAGGTCGGCACCCAGGAGTGAAGGTTCTTTCCTGTATGATTACCGCACACATGCACACACACACGCACACATACACACATGCACACGCTCACACACACACCCTGCTCTGTGTTCATCCAAGTTGCTAGACCTACGAGCCTGGCCTTGCCAAGGATTTTCAGGCCTCTAAGCCTCAAATCTAGATGCATTTCCCGGTCTTGGTTTCTAAAATCCTTCCAAACGCTCAGACACGTTGTAAGTTCAGGAGGAAATAGGCAGGGTGCGGTGGCCCACACCTGTAATCCCAGCACTTTGCGAGGCCAAGGTGGGTGGAGCACTTCAGGTCAGGAGTTTGAGACCAGCCTGGCCAACATGGCAAAACCCCATCCCTACTAAAAATACAAAAATTCATGGCCGGGCGTGGTGGCTCACGCCTGTAATCCCAGCACTTTGGGAGGCCGAGGCGGGCAGATCACGAGGTCAGGAGATCAAGACCATCATGGCTAACATGGTGAAACCCCGCCTCTACTAAAAATACAAAAAAATCAGTCGGGCGTGGTGGTAGGTGCCTGTAGTCCCAGCTACTTGGGAGGCTGAGGCAGGAGAATGGTGTGAACCCGGGAGGCGGAGCTTGCAGTGAGCCGAGATCGCACCACTGCCCTCCAGCCTGGGCGACAAAGCGAGGCTCGATCTCAAAAAAAAAAAAAAAAAAAAAAAAATTCGCTGGGCATGGTGGTGGGCACCTGTAGTCCCAGCTACTCAGGAGGCTGAGGCAGGACAATCACTTGAACAGGGTGGCAGAGGTTGCAGTGAACCAAGATTGTGCCATTGCACTGTGACCTGGGCAACAGAGTGGGACTTCTTCTCAAAAAAAAAAAAAAAAAGAAGTGCAGGAGGAAATAGATATTGATGAGCCACCTCGTGGGTGGGAGATTTGAGACACAGAGAGGTGAAGTGATGGGCCAAAGTCACAAAGCTCAGTTGTCCATTTTGCAGCCCATCAGCCGCTGCCCCCTTTTGCTCCCCAACCCCCCAGTTTGTTGGAAGTGAGGCCCTTACTCTAAAGTCATGACCACAGTGCACAGGGCAAGGACCACTCGTCTCTAGGCAGGAGAGTCTAGAGACAGAAGCGAGCGAGCTCTCCTCTAGGGGTGGACAAAGTGGACTCTGCAGGTGGCACCATTTTCAGAAAAGTGTCCCTGGCTGGGTCTTTTGACACCAGCATCTGCTCCTGCTCCTTCTCCTCCCTGCCTCTAGGAGACCATCCAGCGGTGGCAGTCAGAGGACGTGTAGACTCAATGATGAAAACGAATACAGGATTTGCCCTCTTCTCGGAGGCAGTGGGGAGCTGGAAACCGCCTCTGCAGCCTGGGCTGGGCCACGCCGGGTGGGGCAGGACCCTCTTTGGAATGTGATTTCTATTTCTCTCATCGTTCCCTGCTAAGAACTCAGATGATCAAAATTCCACTGAATTAATTTCAACATGCTGTTGTTGCCCAAGACCTAGAAGGCTGGGTAGGTGTATAAACCACTGCATGTGAGCTCCAATGCTGGGGATTAAAGAGCCCTCTTCCGCTGTGAGAAAGGCTCAAATGTAGGGACTGGTGTGGGCCCACTGTATCTATCGTGGTGTTTTCTTGTCTGGGACTGTCCTATTCACTCCTCGGCCCTTGAGAAGTGGGAGAAGTTTAGCCTCCCTCAGCTACTTCACATTTAGTCCAGCACAATGGGGTAAAGGAATGTTTCTTTCGTGGCTTGTAGGCCATGTGGGTGCAGCAAGGAGCTGTGTGTGCAGAGCAGGGTGAGGCGTATGCACCTCCACAGGCCCCTCCGGCCCTGCACTTCCTCCCTCCACCATCTTCAGCGGCTCATCCTTTGCCCTGGTCCACGGGATGAAATGTGGGTTGGCCCTAGGAGTCAATCTTTGTCCTTCGGGAGGCCACCTATGGTCCCAGAAGGGCACGCCCTTGGAGAACCCAGATGTGCCTAGCACCACCCCCACCCCTACTCCGTCATCATAGCTGCTGCAAGTGGCTGTCTGCTTGTCATTGGACAAAATGATGAATCTGTTCTTCCCACTAAGAGATCCCGATGCTCACCATCGGACGTCTGCAGGACGACAGTTTTACTGTAAGGCCCGACACCAGAAGAGTTGAAAGCTTTGACTCGGGCGTTGTAGGTGCTGTTGAAGTGAAGACCGTCGATGGTACACAAAGTCTCCTTACCGACGTACACTTCCTGAAAGAGAGCAATGCTGCTCACCAGGCTCCTCTAGCATTTGGAAAATTTCTCTCAGCAAATGGCTTCTGGAAACGCACTGACGTTAAAAGTGCTTTTGCCAGGCGTGGTGGCCTGTAGTCCCAGCTACTCAGGTGGCAGAGGTGGGAGCATCGCTTGGGTCCGGACTGGGCAACATTGCAGGACCCCATTTCTAAACAATTTTTGTTTTTATTTTTTTGAGGGACAGAGTCTTGCTCTGTTGCCAGGCTGGAGTGGAGTGGCGTGATCTCGGCTTACCGCAACCTCTGCCTCCCAAGTTCAAGTGATTCTCCTGCCTCAGCCTCCCAAGTAGCTGGGACTACAAGCATGCACCACCATGCCCAGCTAATTTATATATATATGTTTTTTAGTAGAGATGGGGTTTCCCTATATGTTGGCCAGACTGGTCTCGAACTCCTGACCTCAGGTGATCCTCCTGCTTGGCCTCCCAGAGTGCTGGGATTACAGGTGTGAGCCACCACGCCCAGCCAAAAAATTAAAAAAAAAAAATTCTTACCCAAATAGAAGTTAATAAAAAGGGAGATTGCGTTCAGTCATGGCTGGCTCACAGAACTTGACCAACTTGGGCATGAATGCCTTACTACTGGCTGCCTGGCCCCTCTGCCTGTGAGGTGGTGAGGCGTGATGGAGTCCTGGTGAGGCGACTTCTCAGGTCTGCAGCCAGCCAGGATACTGACCGGGAACATCCTGACTCCGCCAAGGTCAACCTGGTCTACAAGACTATTGAGCCACAGGGCACATCCACTCCTTTGCCTCCTCCCACCCCTGAGGCTGGCATTTTCCACTCCTTAGCCCTCCTGGAGCTGCTGTTTTCCTGGTCTTTCCAAAGGGTGAGACATTTCTGCATCAGGCCCCAAAGATACTTCTCTTTCTTTTTTTTTTTTTTTTTTTTTTTTTTGAGACAGAGTCTCACTCTGTCACCTGGGCTGCAGTGCAGTGGTGCGATCTTGACTTACTACAATCTCTGCCTTCCAAGTTCAAGTGATTCTTGTGCCTCAGCCTCCAGAGTAGCTGAGACAACAGGCATCTGCCACCATGCCTGGCTAATTTTTGTATTTTAAGTAGAGATGGGGTTTCACCATGTAGACCAGGCTGGTCTCAAACTCCTGACCTCAAGTGATCCACCCGCCTTGGCCTCCCAAAGTGCTGGGATTACAGGTATGAACCACCGTGCCTGGCCCCCAATGATACTTTTCTAAAGATTGACCTTGTTCCTCATTCGCTTCAAAGTTACCTTTGTCGTATTCAGCCCCCAAAATGCATAGCCTTTTGCCTCTCCCATGTCATTATTTTCTGCTAATTAAATAATGTGGTCTAAGATCACAGCTAATCCATATAGGAGCCATAGCTCAAATCCAGGTCTGTCTGCATGCAACATCCACACTTTTCCCACTATAAGACCCTCTTCCTTATAAACCCTAGCCCTTGGGTCTAGCTTTTGTTAGTGGCCATGTCTCAAAGAGGAGGGACCACTTTTGAGCTCTGTGGCTGCTGCTTTTAATATTCCCAAACAGCCTTTTCTTTCTTCCCATTTCAAAAACACTGACTCTCCTCTTGGTTTCTGGTGGATGAGCTCTTTCAGTTCTTGGCTCATTTGCACAACAGGAGTGACTGGGGTCTGCACTCAGTGACCTGGCTCGAGCTACCTCATCTTGCCTCCCTAATTGGCCCATATTCACATGGAACTCAGTAATTCCCAAGGAAGTGCTGCAACTATTTCCCTAATTCTTACATTCCTGCATTTTTCAAACACAAAGTAAAACGACACATACGTACATCTCTTTGAGAGAAACTAAGGGAATGTTGACCTTCAGCAAGGTTTGTTAAATGGGTGCAACTTCCCAGGAGAAGAGATGCAAGGGTTGTTATGATT